TGGTCAATAGTCGACATTCTAGCTAGGTAGAATCGTAGTCTGCTCATCCTTGATTGGCTCATTAGTTTCATTGACAAAACAAAATACTAAATCATAAAAAGACATTATTTTCAAGTTTCAATTGGATAAATAATGTATTAAATAAAAGTAGATGTTGTATACACTATACTATACTAGTTAACTTAAGTAAAACGCTACACTCATATTGAGCTGATAAATAATAAATGATGAATAAACATTTGAATATGGCATTTATCAACTGAAGTGCCATTAGGAATCACGGAATATTACACAAGAGTCTTGTTTCAGTGAACGACGCTTCAGTAACGAACAATAACCTTCAAACCAGACAAAAATCTCCAGACAGCAGCCTTTTCAATCAAGAACTAAAAATTTAAGCCTAAACATTGAAGACTGAAGATGGAGACAATAATCGAAAGCAGAACATTGTTACTGGAGGAATAAAAAGATTTTAATGTTCATCAAATGATAAATAAAATTATCATAAACAGTCTTCCAGATTTTATCATATGATTGAGTTCGTTTCATCAATGATCTGAATCTCAATTTCATTCATACCCCCAAAAAACACATGTATTCATTCTGTAGTGAAAAATACTATAACTTACTAAAAGTTACTCTATTTCTAAATAGAAAACACTTGTTAAAATGAACTAGTAACAGTAAAATCTAATGATATTTGAATCGATATATGCGATTTTCTAGAATAATATTCATTACAGAGTGATGGTTTTATCTAAAGAACAAGCGGAAACCAGAGTGTATGATAAACATCTAGTTTCATCCTAGTTTAACAGTGAGTAATCTTGAACAATTGAGACTACTTTGCACAATTAATCGGTTAGGTTTTTATGTCTGAAATTATCAAAATATAGTTTACGAAATCAAACACGGTTCATCAATAATTGATAGATATCACCTGAAAGGTAATTAAAATGCGATAATGTTCTGACTATCGCTAGTTTATTTTATCGTTCTGGACAACTCCAATAGGTAACATCAATTTATGTTTCACAATAAATTAGAGATTGAATGAAATTTTCTAATTATTTCACTTAATAGTAAGTGAACTAGTTCTTTTTAAAATTTTAACCGTTTACAAAATTGTATTATTATAAATAAGAGTTTGAGTTATTTCATTGTCGATATGCAAAATTAAATTTTGATCAGTCTTTGGTTATTACTTACTATGAGCGTTGTATTCAAGATAGTCATTCTGTAACAAGTTTATTAGAATAGATTAGATTGTGAATAGAAGTGGAGTTCAAGACGTGTGCATATGCATCAAAATAGACAAACAAATTCAGTTTTGAATATCAACAACCCGGTAATTCAGACTTTTACTGATTACAATAATAATAATAAAATGGAAATCATGCTCGTTGAACAAGGTTGTGGTTAAGTGAACTGAGTAACTCAGTGTATGAAGCGTTGTGAGTTCGAGTCGTTCTGTGAACATAAACACTGAGATGCAGGTACATGGATCTGATGTGTTTGAAACAGGATGAAATAGAGCGAATGTTGTGGTCTGTATTCCAAAATCTATCCATTCCTAGTAATAACTATAATATTAGCATTTGTGTAACACATAAAATAAAAACAATATTTTGATGACAAAAAGAGGTCAGTTCTTCTAACTTCTCTGACTCATATTCCTGCAATGATCTTCGCTGTTATTTGATTGTCTGTTGTCATGTTTCGTTCGCTAACTTTGTTATGTTTCAAGGTCATTGGATGCAAAAAAAGTAACTGCATTTCAGTTTTTCAATTCTGTTCGGAATATAAACCTATCCCGAATGTCACATCGTCTCTGTTTCATATTAGTATGTGGATTATTAACGTTGAAGTTCTACTGTGACAGTCGTCGGGCACGATAAAAAACCTATCGTGAACAGTATGAAATGTAAAAACTATATAAAAACATTGTTGATATTGAAATTTCGCTGCGTTTTGAACTACATATTCTGGATTTGGTCTGTTATCTGTGCACTAGCTAATAAATAAATGTCTTCAACATTTCAAGACCAATTTTAACACCGGTTATGGTTAGTGGGATAGCGTAGTTTTACCAGTTTCGGTAATCTTCGAATTACAAAGATAGCATAATAGACTAAATATTCAATCAGTCAAATGGTTCATATAATTCATATCTAACTGTGGGGTGATTCCAGGGGACATCGTTAGGCAGATAGCATAGTCTCTTGCACACAATGTAGGAGCTGTTACGTATGTACGTTGGTTCAACTTGTCACACGACATTAACACAGGGGGATGAAGTTGTCAGGGCAAATCCCAGATTAGTAGAGGTATTGACGTTATTGGTAGTCATAAAAAAGATTGGTCTGAAGAAAACGTTTCAGGAGAAAATATTGATTAGTGGGGTAGAAAACGTTTATTGGATAATTTGGAAACTTAGGATCTAAGGGACGGAAAATAATGAATGCACCTAGATTACTGTAAAAGAATTTGACCCACGTTACCAAAAGTCTCCAATCATCGATTACGATAATCGTGAGGACCCCAATTAGGTAGTCTTCACCTACTTACATGGCTCAGTTCAACAGTCAGTGTCTTCACAGACGCATCCTAAGACTTGGTTTGACCCACCTTAAATTCTTTCCGACATACTACAACACCAGCTCATGTAGCAAGTACGAAAGTACGCGTACCTCTTATAAACATGAAAGCCTAGTAGAATATTTATCAACTCAGAGTCCGAGACGTTTTGAATCTTACGATAATGTAGATTCAATTTCAACTTGAAAAATATCCCTTTATTCAAAACAGAAATTACTTGCATACAAAGCTATTCAGTCTCAATCACTGTAAAGTAATATTTACTTTAATAATAATAATAACAACAACAATAATAATATAGTTTTATATGTGAAATGATTTCCTGTAGTTTATCTAAAAGTACAATAACAGGAACAAAGGCACATTCTAAAAGAAGGAAATTAAATTAGTTAGAGAACAGGTAGGAGAAAATAAAATTAAAAAAGACAAGAAGGTGAAGGTTGAGCAAAAGAACAAACTACTATTAAATTACTGTAATAAACCATATTTCTCCTCTCATATGACCTTACTACTCATGATAATCGATATGAATCAAGGCTATTTGAAAATTCTTTTACAGAAATGATATATATATATATATATATATATATATATATATATATATATATATATATATATATATATATATATATATATATATATATATATATGATAAATCTTCTAGCTGAACGCTTCTAAATCTACACGGTAACTTGAATACGAGAGAAAAATGTGAAGACTAGTGATAAACTTTCATTTGGTTTTCGAAATAAATCTAAATGATTTAACAATACATGACATTTTATATGATTTACTTGCAATTAGATTAACAAACAGATTTGTATATATTGAATTGAGCTGTATTTTTAACAATAATCCTTCAAGAACTTACTGTGTGAACATATTTACAACATTATACAATTAAGTATCTATAATCCTTCTTAAGATGTGATGAATACATGTCACATCTGATTGGAAAAACATATCATATGTCTATTGTATTCCAATTAATTAAGCTATTACTCATTACTGAAATGATATCAAATCAAAAAACTATTCGAAAATAAGAAAGGATCCAATAATAAGGTCGTTTTAGCTTTGAGTTTTTGAGTTCAATAGATAACGAACTTGGTTGCAGATTTTGTGTATGACATGGCTCAAAATCAGTCACAGTATCACAGACTCATTCACTTTTCACGTTCCTCTAGATTGTGAATTGTAGACTACTTTTATAAATGCCTTTTTATTCTGTTGTTTTAATCACATTCTCAACATTTACTCTTTTTCATCACTAGTACCACTACAAGTAATTCGACTCGTTCGGCATTCGTCTTGTTAAACTCATCTCGTTATATTGATATAGAATGGGAACTTGGACTAACACAAATTTACCCTAGGCTCTATATTGATTATGACTGACTGAATCACGATCTAAAATAAGGTTGGAACGGTTTTCAAGTCTTGTAACAAGCACTCTGCTAAGTATGATAATAGCTAGGGAAATAAATACGTAAAACAGACTGCAGTGTATAATAACATATCTGCATTATAGTTGGGTTCCAAGGTGATTCTACGGTGTTTTGTAGCTAACACTTTTGTTTAGTGAATTTGATCTGCTGATGTAATATTGCTGTACTGATAATAGTTAGACTAATTCACGGATTCAAACGCTCCTCTTCACCTATTTTGATAACCGACTACTAACGTTACTCTATCATGAAGATTGTAGGTTAAAATCAAGTATATGGATATATACTTATTAAATGAGTTACATGAAGTGTGAAACGTAGTACAAGGGGAACATATTTATTTATTTCAGTAGTAAAACTTAAAGAATCTCTCTCATGTGTGTACTTTCCAAATGCATTTAAAAAGTTAGCTTTGGTGAATATACCTACGTTTACAGGAGAACAGAATGCTTACATATGAGAACTAAGTAGTTATTAATGGTTCATGTCGAATCGGGAAGCTCAACCCTGTCCTTCGTAAACAGAAATAATTGTTTTCCTTCGTTTTATACATCAGTACTATTGAAACCTCCACAAGTCATAGAAATACTGAAAAATGGTTCGAGATACAGATCGAAACTAAGACAAAACTAATAAAAAACATATTTATGTAGACAATAACAAAGTTTTATGGAGATGGAAACCAGTAGTAGCATGTTAGACTGTGAAGCTGGGTGAAACGAGTCCGAATCTCAGAAGGAGAAAGCACCAGTCCCCTCAAGCATTTAGTTGCTTCCTGATGAAAAATGCCTACTAACGTGAAACCTAATCCTAAAATATCCTGCCCATTACCCCAAACCAATTAACAAAAATAACCATGATGAAAATACTCTTCAGTATAAAAAAAAACTTTTAGTTATCCAATAATGATCAATAACAAGGTTTAGACATATATATTACACTAATGAGACTTACTTGAGGCGCTTTATGAGGAAACTCTTGAATATCATTATCCAATTGTTCAAGTATATAATCATTGCCAGACTCATGATTGTCAAGACAGATTTCATAAGCAAGTGTATAAGCTTTATGTAATTGATGAAATTCAACATTTGTCCTCTTTTGAAAATCATTATTGATATTATTATTACTATTGTTGTCATTACTAGTATCGATTAGTTCGCTCTTTACATCTGGATGAATACTACGAGCTAAATTTAAATAAGCTCTCCTACATTCCTCAGGTGTACTGGATGTTGATATACCTAGTAATTCGAATGCTTTCATTGCTTCATGCGTTAACTTTATTGAAAAATGGCGCAATATATTTAGAATGGACGTAGATTGATTTAAAGTTTCACTTGTTCTAAATAAAAACATCTTGATTTTATTATAAAGAAGAGTTGACTTCATACGAATGAATATGATTAAATCAAGAGAGTATATATTCGCATATGTGTGCAATCTGAAAAGAGGATTTTCGAAAAACATAATTATTAATTGGATATATCGAAGATTTGATTAAACGATTTAATTTGGATTTTCATAAAGAGTAATTTAATCATATTTTCACAGTTTAGGAAAGTAGACCATGCGATGTTAACCTAGTGATCTAAATGTCAAGCGCTTGCTTTGAGATCTGGAGGTTCTGATCCTAGATTCCATCTACAGAAGAGTCTCATACTGATTGTTCTTCCCCAATACAAATATCAATCATATTTACAATTTCAGACATAAAACATCTATAATTCATCATCATCTTTTGGTAGTTGAATGTAAATGAATTAGTCCAAGTATCGTCAAATGATAGCTACCTATTAAGACATTTAATACGTTTACTAATTAATGTTAGATTAATGTTTTCTGAGAGAAATGGTTGTAATGTTCCAATCATAAAAATCTAACCAAAATCTATCGATCACAGAATCTAATTATTATTAAATAAACAAATGGAGCGTCACATAAACTCATTTACGATACAATGAAGTAGTGATACACCTACCCACCTATCTAACTAACAATGGCTTTTATAAAAACCTTTCCCTATAATTATTCCTCATATACATTCATTCACTTAATAAGAAAGCTAATTATCATGTGACTTTCTTTTATAGAAACAATCTGAACAATCAATATTCTGCATTATAATAATAATAAATAATATTGAAAGGAATGTTTACAAAAGATAAATATGGAATTAATTTTCTTCGGTATTCTACTTAGTCCATTTATACAACCATCGAATGACCTTGTGATTCAATATATCCAACATTTGTTATGAATATTTAGAGAATAAAAAGGGACAGAGATGATATCTTACTGGTTTTCTTTTTCGTACAATATCGAATTAAGTATAAACGGGAAGAAGAAGAAGAAGTACAGAATAAAATGCATAAATTATCCCTATGATAAAACATATTTTAAAATTTTATATTATTAGTGCAAATTAAAATGGCTATTTTCATGTCTTTGAAAATCTCGTCAAATGTAATAATGACTGAATCGATCAATTGATCGATCGACTCGTATATAAATCAATATAATCTCATCAATATTTATTGAATAGTACGTTAAAAAGTGTAAATTCATCAGTGAGTTCAGTGTCCATTATTTTGAATATGAATATATGAAAAAATGGCCTCTACTGAGATGCATAAATTAAAGGAGGAAAAAATGTAGAAATACCTACATAACTAGTTATAAAACACATTGTTTGTTAATCAACTGAAATAAACAATTTCGGCGAAACTATAATTTATGGACGAGTCAATCAGATTTAGAGTAACAGGTTTTGAATTTTGGCGCGAAATTCACTCATCCATTTGTTTAAATAGCGTTTTGGCATTATACCTTATGTCGGTTCGTAATGAAAACCCTAAATCTAATTTCTAACACTAAACATCAACTATAAATCATAATCCTAGTTCTTCACACTGGTTTATAACCCTCATTTAACACTAGTAAGTAGGTGGACATTTTCAAGATCACTGTAGTGTCGCTCAAAGACCGTTCATAAATTATAGTCTCACTACAATGGCTTGACCAGTTAAAAGATCAGTAAACTGACAACTAATGGTACCGAGAAAAATATAGATATTCTCATCTAGGGAGAAGAGTTATTACAAATTCTTAATATTAGCTAAAGAAATGTTGAAAACTTTGAAACACGAAAAAATCAAGACATCTAATGACTGTAAAAGAAATATTTGTAACAGTATCAGACTTTAAAAAAATTTTCATCAGTTTGTATGAACACAAATGATAAATGATTGTCATTTATTAAATGACTATTAGACTTAATAAACAATTAAATATTACCTTTTTTAGAATTATATTGAAAAGAAAAACATTTAAATGAAACAGATTTACATAATGTATGGTATATAATCAAGTTTACATATTCTATAATAAATTAACTGTATTACATATTTATTAAAACAGACCTAGTTGATCAATAGTCTAGCTTTTTAAAAAAATTTTAATTAGAGGCTAATAGACAAGACTCGATTTTATCATTAGTATTGAGCAGATTCTATTCATCAAGTTTCAATTATGGTCATTAAGTCAAACAACCCAATATTAAGGTCTATTTTAGTGTATGCACTGATAAATGATGGTAGTTGATAGAAAAACTGTCGATCTGAGAGCTTTATACATTGTAGAAGTTGATCAGTTAAGTTTATATACGTTCTCTAGGACAGAACGCTTTGGCAAGGTCACAACACTGGCTAATACATTCTTACTAATTACATTACTATGATCACAAAACATAGTAGTCTTCAGTAATGATAATTAAATGCAACTAAATATGAGATTCCTAAGTAAAATAATCCATATTCGAAGTTTTCTGTATGAAAAAAAACGAACATTTAAAATGTTTATTTTTGTAGCCTTAGATTTTAAAAACGAACTTTGTTGTTAGATGTATATTTGTACTAACTAACAGACGATGAAATAGTTTACTCCTTTTATTTTAAATGTTATAATAATTATATGATGATGGTTAAACAACAAAATATAGTAGCTATCGATTTTTATAAGACAAAGAAACACAAACAAAGAGTTAGATATGAACACATACACACACTAACGTATAAAAACACAAACAAGAACATTGTATGGATAACAAAACCTGAGAATAAATCTACTAAAATTCAATAACTTCAACATATATAAAGATTTTTTCCGTATATATAACCGATAATCTATAGTTTCATTAAGAGATATCTAGTATTTCTCGGATCGAACACATATTATGTGGTTCTCGTACTCTTTTTTAAATATACCATTGCAATATATATATCCCAATCTGAAGGATTTTCTTATAAATTGATGTGGTAAATGATTTCATTCCATTTTTAGCATGTATTAGATCAAAACAGTTGAAGTGTATATATATTGTATGACACATATTCAATCACTGTGATCCTAGCTTCACGTGTAGTGATCTTAACTGGAGTGATAATAAGAAATTAATAGACCTCGAATTGATCAGATTACGAACTTAGTGTACATTTATGAAATCATTATCAATGATTTGATTATTGTAAGAGAATAAATAGTTTTAGTATCGGTGAAGTGAATGTTTTGATACAAAAAAAGGAATATCACATGAAACACCATTGATTCAATTAATTAGATTCATCATTTCTAGAATAATATAATACAATTTGAGATTACAAATTTTTGTTTGTTCCCCATTATGTTCCTATGATTTTCATTATTATAGTTATTTATAGCTTGTTATGATTTCTCGTAACTTATTGAAGTTTGAACATGACAATGTGGTATGGACTACATTCAATTCTAATTTGTTCAAATTAGTAAACTGAAAAATAAAGAGATAGATGTGTTAATGTGTAAAACTTTTTCTCAATAAATTTCACTTGTTTATTTTGATTTTATTACGAACTAACATCGTTAAGGGGACTATCAAAAAGCAGAGTGTAAATGATAAGTGTTCCGTGTCAAGAGTTGACAACTGTAAACATATTACATTTATAATTTCAGTTTAACCTTACAATATTAATGGTAATAATAGTAATAATAAACTTGAAAAGAAGAAACCAGCAGAGAATTCGTAGATGGAATAGTTGAATTATAATACTAAAGAACTTGTGACTAAATGACAATATCAAGCCAAATCCCTTAGAATGCACACGTGTTTAAAAAGATTGTTCAACTACAGTCCTTTAATATTAGCAATAGGATATTAAAAACCTTCACAAATAAACCCACAAATGAATGAGTTTCTAAACTCAGTAGCTCAATAAACAACACGTTGGCATATGAATTGAACGGTGATAGGTTCTAGTTTCAGTGCATACACCAACATTCAGATACAAGTGCATTCAAATAATGAGTCCTAAATAGGACAGAAATCATATCCTAGCCTCTGTTGTTAGCTCCTATAATTAAAAGTTTTTAACATATGTATATATCTCATTTTTAATCAGATGAATTTTAAAACAACACATCTTGTTCTCCATTGTTTGTAATTCTTTTGACAAGAAATAAACTTATGGATATATCAAACGACTAATTCTATTCATTTCCCTTCTGAAAGAAAGTTTCAATAATACATAATGCTTTTTTTAAATAGTGATTGATTTTTAGAAAAAAAATCAGACTTGCGTTATGACAATCTTTTTCTTGATACTTTCACAAAGAAACTCTTAAAAGTTCAAATTCATTTCTAATCATGTGAACACAGTTAAAATTCAGGTCAAGACTTATGAATAGATGTATTGTCGTTTCGTATTAACTATTAAATAAATAAATATATATATATATATATATATATATATATATATAATAAACAAAATCATTTAACTGTGATGGGATTTCTTCGAATAGATGTATTGAACTTTATAAAATAAATCGATACGCTGTGATGGCCACAAGTTTTACAACATTATTTCATCCAAAGTAGCTGAAATATTGTTCAAAGTAGAAATTGAAAATGAGTGTTTCTTCTTATCCTTAAGTAAAATTGACTGAACCATACCACAAATTTTCCAAAGAATCGAATCATTATCCCACCTCCCAAAGAAACTTATCAAACTATAAAATGAACACAGATAGACAAATACTAAGTTCTCAGAAAAGGTTGAGTTCATGAGTTAATATTAAGTTTTCAAATCTAAGACAGTAATGTTTGAAAATTCAATAATATATAAGCCAAATAATTAATGGACATCATTATGTATACATTACTGACTGTCTTAAAATCTCTTTTCAGTAATAAAGAATAAGTATATGTAATAGTAAAATGTTTCTAATATTACACATAAGCATTTGTTCAGTAATATTTGATTTTTTAAAAAACGAAAAAGGAGAAATTTGACATTTAAATGATTTCCAGATGCGATTGCAAAAACATCTCATTTGAAATGAATTCTAAAAATAGACCTGTATGAGGTTCACATATCAAAATAAAGATGATTGCATACAGTGAAAATGTTTC